GGGTCCCACTTTATGAGGGCTAAGCCAACTCCCAAGTCCTAATGGGTATGGATATTGACATAATGCTACTTTGATCCTTTCCCAAAGAAAAAGTTACCTATTAGCATCTCAATGTACAAATACACGAGATACCTGGCGGTGTACATCAAACTTGTTATGTTTCTTTGCTACATATGGACACTACCTTGGTTCATGAGCATTTCCCAACTTAAACCTTGCTCCACTCAAGCAGCTTGTGTAGCACTAACATTAATGTTTGGGGTGTATAGAAGTTTTCTTTGTACAAATTTTGATGCCATTTATTCTCTTGTATGTGTTCTACCATAGAATAGCATGTTGGAGACAAGTAAAAGATAATTAGGATTTATCTACCACTAATATGGCCCTCCCATAGAAAAACATGGTGATCCCAGTTCTAGAGCTAAACATAACATGTCCAGTACTTGGGTATTCAATATCAGGTATGGGGATTGCATTGATGTTGTTCACCACTTGGGCAAAGTCCTAAGATTGTATGACACCATAATCCCATAGATCAAGAAGGAATACAAAAGTTTGCAAGGGCATATAAATACCTCCACTTCGGGGGTGGGGGTGTCACCAAGTTGAATGTTGAACTCATCATCTACCTAATGACATAAGAATCCAACCCAAGGATGGCATGCCATGCCTAAATACATCAATGTAAGCTTTAATGGAGAAGACATCAACCACATCCCATTTCCAATTATTTCCCTTCGATGTCGCAATTAAACCTATATTCTGCTCCTTAAGAGGTGTTACTGAAGGAACTTCCTAATACATGTATTGTCAGATTCTATAAGCCGCGTTGCTTCAAACCTCATGCCAAGGGGCGAAAACACATGTTTTTGTCGCTTACCCCTTTGCCACGGATAAGAAAAGGAACCACACCATTCCATTTGAGGGGAATCATCTTAGACACCATTAAAGTTATTAGACATAACACTCTTTCGCAGATGGATATATGATATAGGAAGTCCACTAACTATAAGACCAGAATGGATAGTTGCCAGATGTCAAATAATTGGACCACTTCGAAGCTTTATAATGGAGCACCTTAATAACACAGGGATAGCCCAGCACACCACCACATTTATGCAAGCACCACAATTATGCCTCAAAAAAGGGACCAAGACGGCGCCTCTTGGTGCCATCGAGCACGAAGTCGAAAGGTGCTAATGCTTTGTCAAAGGCATTCAAAGTCTTCCTCACCAGTCTTTCCCATTGAGTCGTGGTTTGTGATGTGGGCACTTGAGCTTCGAGAATCAAGTAAGCCCATTGCATGGGAGATCTATGTAAGGTATAAGTTCAGTTTTTCTAGCATGCTCCATTATTGCTCTCATCAAAGATCTAGCCTAAAGCATTTGGTCAAAGGTTTGTCCCACATTTCCTATGTGTGTCCATGATGATGGTCTAAGGATAAAGGTTTATGCTGGAGCCAAATGTTAATGCTTGAAGACCAATCTGCCAACTCACTTTGAGAGTCTGTTCAACGTTGGACGAAAAAACGTGAGATAGGGAGGGGATAACTTCTATTCTAGATGAACATTGATCTCGCAAAATAGATAAATTGTCATGGCATGCTTATAAACTTTGGGGCAAAACAAATTTTGCTTCCAATTTCTTCAAATATTCTCCATGAAATCTTCAAGCATTACTTGGTTGGATAATGATCCCTTGAGGGGCTTTGTCCTGGATGGTCTTTAGTTTTGGAACGGGGTAGTAGAATAGTTCCTAAGGTTCCTTACCTCCCACCAATCTCAAAAGGTGCCTCGAATGAAACATGCCCTTGATCAACTTCCTCAATGAGGGTTCAATATGAAAATACTCTAATGCAATTGTTCCCACAAGTCCGCTTACCCTATTCCAGGATTGAAAAAGTCAGCCTTGCATGTATAGAAATTACATGCTCCACCTTGAAGATTGGTTGACCCCTTTAAAGTATGAAGTCACCACCCACAAATCTTGTCCTTTTACATCTCCCTTGAGGTTATTCTTAGAGACTCATTTGATAGGATGTTCTATGTGTTAGGAAATATGCAATTATATTTTTTGGGGGCCAATGGCTAGTATATATATACATGACATGTGGTAATGGCTAGTATATATATACATGACATGTGGTAAATATGCAGGAAACCCCTCATAGGATGAAAAAATATACAAGCTATACTTGAAACATAATATAACTCTAACACTCCCCTAAAACACAGGGTGGATCCACAACACTAAGTTTGGGGAGATAAAATCCAAGCTGCATTCTGTTGCGATGTAGAGTTGCATCCAGCCATTTCACCCAAAATCTCAAACCGGTGCCAAGTAGCAGAGCTCATCAGCCTTGGAGTCACCTTGCTGAAGAGCATGCTCATGGCGAATCACAAACTGGTATGACGCATCACCAGAGGGCTGATAGCGATGCTCAAGATGGGTCCACATCTCAAATATAATAGCGAGGCCCATAAACTCAGATGCAAACCGAGGCAAAACACTAAGTGAGAACAACCACAATACACATCATCATCAAACTACTAAGTGTAAGCAAAGTGAACCTCATGGTAAGTGGCAAGACCTCCCCATAGGCCAAAACCTCTTGATCATAAGCACAAACTGCATCCTCGTCAGCAAGCTTAACCGCACCCTTAGCAGCCCGAGGAGCATTCGCAGGAAGAGACGGTGGCATCGGTGAGGTAGGAGCCACAAGAGTAACCGTATGTGGCAGACAGAGGGCGCCAGAAAGAACACCAAGAGACACATCCACACATCTGAATGCGCATAAAGGCAACGAACTAGGTGGAATTAGAACCCTAAAAAATTACAAACCACCGAGGAATGGTGACATAACTTGATGATGAAGACATTGCACCTCTTTTTTTAGAACTTTTTTACTCTTCTTTTGGACCGATGCCCAACTCAACAGGCAACCAAATTGATTCAGCGGTAGACGTGCTCATGGAGGGGCCGGACCGGCGGTCATGTAGGAGGCCAGTAGACCAAATCACGGCCTTATCAACCACTCAGTCCGGCAACGGACCAACGGGGCGTAGGAAGTCAGCAGCTCGCCCAGGTGGACGTCTGGGGCGGGCATGCAGGCACACATCCGAATCGAGTTGATGGCAGGCGGGCCAATCAGGCGGCAATGCGGCCAAATCGAGCTGGTGATACAACCGACGGGCGACGGCAGACTAGGAGAGGCAGCGAGCGGTTTGAATTGACCCAACGTTGACCAGATCGAACGGGGTCAAAGCAACGCAGGTGCTGCGAAGCAGTCGGGCGTGTGTGGACCAATAAGAACAACAATGTTGACCAACAATGAATTGATCGGATCTTTATAGGTCAACTCAGATCGGAGATAGCAACTGGGAGAGAGTTGATGGTGGCAAGAGAGACAAGGCAGGGTTGACTAGAGAGAGAATGATGGTGCGTGATGGTGGATCAATATCATGAGTTGTACGTGCCAAAAAAAACTAGGCTCTGATACCATGTCAGGAATATGCAACTTGTGTGTCAGGAATATGCAACTTGTGTTTCCTAAGGGCCAGTGACCAGCATATATATTCATGTATAGGTGATAAGTATGACAAAAACCTCATACAATGGGGAAAATATACATGCTATACATATAACATAAGATAACTCTAACACTATGGACCATCACGCTGATGATGCTTCCATTACGTGTCAATAGATATAGAAGTCTTTCCTTCCGTTGTTAAAGCACCTTCACGTGGGCCTATTGCTCTTGCGCTCATCTTCATCAGAAATTTGCACAGTTAAATAATATAGCGTGATCTTGTAACCGACCTAATCTAATGCATATGTTGCCCAATAGTAGTAGTTGCTTGTGTGATGGAGTGCGCACATCCAGGGAATACCTCTGGCATGAACCTTCCTCAAAAGTCTTGCTTACCCTTTTGTGTTTCCTTAAGTCGAGGCTCACAACTTAAGTAAGATTTCTTGTTTATTGGCGACACAAGATGTTTGAGGATTTGAAAGAACACCAATAGGGCATACGGCTTTGCAGGAAGAAGCATGGTGCAAAGCACCCCCATATCATATGTTTTCTTTTTTGCTAGCAAATAGGGTGCAACCCCTCATGATGATCCTAGTAGGTCGTGGATCAAGAGATATACTCCCTCATACCCCGGTCTCATGTGAGTAGTTCTTCGATATTGCCTTCTAAATGTGTGATGGAAGGGGGATATATACATGAGTGATATTGTATGCCTTTATTCACTTCATGATCGAGTGAGGCCTTCCTATTTTGCCTAAGGTTTCCAGTATGCTCCAGATGAGGAGGTACTTCAAGCTCTACCATACTATTCTCCTATGTTGAGGTTCTTCATAGTGATAGCCTTCATATGCCGAAGGTTGAAGGATGTTGGTGTGCTACTTTTCAAGGTTCATTATAGTGAGGGCCTCCATATGTCGAAGGTTGAAGGACACTGGCATGCTCCATCGAGCAAGAAGACCCTAGGATGCCATGTTCTTATAGTATCCCAACTTTACGATACCATTTTAGAACAAGGGCTTGAAGGGAAGCTCCTTAGCTACATCATCGTCACCTTCATGGACAATATCATCATTTGTTATCTTTGACCCACACCTTTTGTTAAGGCTTAAGATCCACCTCTTTGATCCTTCTAGGATGTTCTTGCTCAAATTGATGGCCCAAAGGGTTTAAATTGTGCCACAAAAGCAAACTAAAATCCTTGAACAAGATCTTGTATGGTGCCTTCGGTAATGGCAGAACTCCTAACCCTTATGTGCATCTTTCTTTACATGTTTGCTTCCTCGAGCTCTTTGCAAGGTAAGAAAAATTGCTAGGGAAGTTCTCTTGTTTCTAGTTGTTAAACGGTGAGAACATTAGCAGCTGGACTTTTTGTGCCGAAATTAATGACTTATGGATTACGTCATCTGTGGATCTTTGAAGGATGCCTTCTTTTGCAAGAACCTATACATGACCTTTCAGGATAGCGAAGATGGGGTATGCTAAAGCTCTAGAGGGCAACACGCAATGTTGTGTGCATGACCTTGTAAGGTTTGTTGGATTCTATGAGCTTCCCCTGCGATGAAAGTGCCTAAAAGGTCATTGGGGCCATCTCGGTGGCCCATTTCTTCTGAGGCAACTTAAGTAGGAAAACTGAGGAAAGATGCCAATGTTCGCGACTGGATAATCGATATGATGTGTCTTGAAGTAGTAACATCAATTTCAGGAGGCCATTGTCATCGTGTTCTTGAGCTATGTAGGGGCTTTCCTGCATGTCATATATTGTTCATTATGCTTCTTTTAGGAAAAGTGAATTGGGCCATGATCATGGTCTACACAAAAATATTGGGCTCTTCCATTCAGTAAGGAGTTAAAGGCTTCTTGAACTTTCAATGGGAACCTTCCCAAATCAACCACCTCTTAGGCAGTTAATAGGTCGGTCTTGTTCAGGCCCCTAGCCCTTTTCTTTCTAATTACTCCATCCTTTCTCCAAAAATTAGTGCAAACTATGATCGAAACAAAATAATCTATATGCAGGTAAAGTCATACTACCTGAAATTGAACTCAGTAATCCCTAATTTGTAGGTTGTATAAGCTTGGTGAAGTCACTTCTAAACTTCTTATCTTCATAAAATCTCTATTTGCATATGCTCTCCAAAATTATTGTTATTGCAAGTTCTGAATAAAAAGGTGGTACAAAAGCTTCTGAAATTACACTAGGTAGATATTGTTTCTGCAGGTAGAGACATAACCTATATTCAGGTAAGACAGAGAGATATGATTTCTATTTTACTGTTTTCTCATAGTACATAGAATTGTGTTTAAAATTGCCAGCCATAGCCTAAAGCTTGAAAGTGCAGTTTCCAAACGTTAATGTTATCCATTTATTTTCAGCATAGAAGGTACATATGACCGCTATCAGGCATTTGCAAGAGCCGGAAAGGACGTGAATGAACCTGGTGCAAGTAACAACAATGTACATTAATCACTATAGCTTTTCTTATTGCATAGCTTAGATCTAGTTTATGTGTGGAACATTCAGCTGCCAAGCATCATACTGTGGATTTTATAAGTCTGTATTTCTGAATTTATCATGGAAATGCACTATGCATGATGAAGTGTTTGTTATCAAGAATTATGTTGCCTATGCACAGGACCAGCAAAATGAGTTAAATATGATTATTTTTATAATCTAAGTCTAGGTTGTAATCATGCCATTTTGTATCCAGGATAGCCAAATTGTATAATTGTTTATATACTCTTTTTAAGCAAGATTGTCTGTATCCCCACATATCTCTGACATGATATGTTGATTCTGAACCAGGATGGAGATCCTTCAAATATACAGTCAAGGCTTAAAGAGATTACTTCCTGGTAGCCCTTGAGGCTTTACACCATATCTCCTACAGTAGTATGTTATTTACCGCGTTTAGTGCAATGCTGATGATGTGCAATCCTGAAAGGTCTCTTCAAAACAATGCTGATGACTCAGATGCTAATGAGCTAGAGAAACTGGAGAAACTACTGACAGATGCTTTGAAGAATACAAGATCCAAGAAGGTACACCTAAATGACTCTGTTCATATTTGTAACCAACTTTCGTAGCAAGGAATCAAGTTTCTGGTTCCTGTTGCCCCCTTGCACCATCAGAAAATGCTCTGTTTTCAGCCATTTTCATTAATTAGGCAGTTCACAGTTTTAGCATGATCTTAGTTGCTCCAGTCTCGCTCTTGACACTCCAACTAGACATAAGCAATCCATGGTTCCTTACCAAAAAAATCTCCTACCTGATGGTGTACGGCATATATTTTTCATTTGGATTGACTATTCTCAAGCACAACAGACAGTTCAATGATGTAGTTGCATCTAGACTCTTAATGGTCCTGAACGTGTCAGTTCCTATATCTTGGTAAATGATAGGTAAAATACATTGAAAAAAGAACTCACTGGCTAATTCACAATACATGTGGCTGTGTTTGATAGTTTCACTGTTTCAGCACAACTCAGAGGAAGTAAGCTGCTAGTACATTTTCTAAATTCAGCAATAAAGGTAGATGTGCTACTGTGCTATAGACCTGTATTGTGTAGAACTGTACTTGGATGAACTGTCCTGTGATGTGAAGTCAAAGATGTTCTGGCTATACAAGAATCAGGCTACCATTGATGTTTACCATAAGACAGCGACAAGTTGGTTCTGTTGTCATTTTTCTGAGTATTGTGTAGCTTATTCCAGGGCATTAGTAAGCCTGTTTGTATTGCAGGCTGCCTGAAATGACAGACAAAATGGAGACATCAGAATATATCCTGTCAGTTACCTGCAAACAAGAAATTAAAATTTTGAAATAGAACCTGGCATGAGAGTTCAGTCAACACAAAGACTATTGCAAGGCTATTTCGCGTGTAAATTAAAACGGGGTATTGCTGTATTATCTGGATCCATGTGGAAAGACTTATTTACAAGCTTTGCTTTGTTGCCACTGGAGTGCAGATGTTGGCGCAACGAAATAGCGGTGCGGGAACGAGTGCAAGCGGCGAGAACTCCGGTCGTCCTAGGGGACAGAAGGAAGGAAGGACTTGAGCAGCCATATGATGTGCATGCATTTGGTACAAGGAAAGCTCTGCTGCTGATGCCAATCTCTTCCCCAGCTATTGGTTATGAAAGAGTTGTGAAGGCTGCTGCTTGTAAGGTCCAGCAGGGAAATTTCAATAAAAGGGTGGTGGGTTAACACCAGCAATGTCCTTGTTAAGTTATTTGATGTTCTTACTAACCTATCAGTCTGTTGTCAGTCTTCTCCACACAGATTATACGCAGCTGAGTGAGAAATCAGTTTATGTGGACACACCTTATATAACCTGACGAGAGCAGATGCTACCTCTAAGACTGGTTTTTCATTCCATCCCATGCTGCTGATTTTTTTATACGTATCTTTCTCAGAGTAGTATAATTTTTCATTCTGTGGCCCTAAATAAAAATCTTGAGAGAAAATAGAAATATATTGTGATGGTATAAGTTGGCTGTGTTGCCATCATGGGGTGGAGTAAGAACATGGCACATAGTTGAAAACAGCAAGCAAAGACCTGAACCAGTCAGGCATTCAGTAGGCAGAGTTTGCTAATCGACCCACCTTATAACTGTAATCTCACCAATCAGTCCGGAACCGCAGGAATCTTGGCATGCACACATTTCCCTGCGATGGAAACAGCACCGACGAGAGATGTCAAACACAAGCCTCAAGAAAATTTAGAACAGCGAGGGACGAGTACGGGACGACAGCAGGAAGAAACCACACCTGAGATGTAACACCGGCGCCGCGGACGCCCAGCCAGCCTCCGGCAATGGCGGCACACGAGGTCACCAGCCGCGGATGCATGCCTGAGATGAATGTAATCAGTCTGAATCAACTAAATATAAATTGACCCATCGATCCGCCGTTGGCCGGCGCTCGCCGGAGCGGGCCACCGCCACACGGCGCTAGCGGCGGCGTACATAGCTCGGACAAACACCAGGAAGGGGGAAGGCGTCGTCCGTCCACTTCTACCCTCTCTCCGGACTCCGGTGGTTTCGCTGGCCGCGCAAAGCTAAGCAGCTTGGGGCCGTCGCGCCGTTCAAATGGCCACGCGCGCCCGGGCGCGTAGTGTCCCTCGCGGACGGAGACGTCACGCTGCCTACGTCATATCACCCGCGGTCATTGCCTAAAAGAAAAAAATATCACTGTGCTACGCCCCATATCGGGCATGTCCTCTCCTCGGGCCAGTCAATGACTCGCCTTTTCAGTCCGTTGCAGAGCCATGGTGGCGGCCGGGCGGCCGGGCGCCCCTTGGAGATGTGCTGGGGGTCAAAGCGGGCTGGAAAAGTCTAGAGGATGGGAGAAACGGGCGGTAACAGCTTTGGCATGCATACGTTTTGCAGGAATCTCGGAGCGGTAGAAAACGACGCACCTGGTGGACAAGCAAAGCATCATGCACCGCGACCTGCCGCCTGCGGACGGACGAACGGAGGCTAGGCGAGGCATTGGTGTCCGGCTCGGCGGCTGGAACGCGCGTGCGGCGCCGGCCGGACCGGACACCACTGCCGACCCTGGCATGGCGCCCGGTTCTGACTGGCGCGCCGGCCGGCACTACATCAACAATGTCTGCTCCGCCATCCAGCCGGCAGCGCTCGCCCGACGACGACGGACGCCCATCCCTGCGCCTCTCCCGGGGCCTCCACCTATCGGACGCCCATGTACCCAAATCTGTGTTGGGTAATCCGTGTACACGCGACGCAGAGAGCCGGCTTCAGTTTTGTTGGCAAAAACCTGGCCGACATCTAGACCAGCGAGGCCATGGGACGAAACATGATCTCTCCAAACGATGCAAAGCAAGTTGAACACAGAACGCATCGAGGCAGCAGCAGAGCAAACAGACATGGGAGGAGGAAGGTGACAAAAAGAAACAGGAAGGAAACACATCAGCAGGGAGGAGAAGATATTTTGCTTACCACATAGCCGGCGACGCCTGGACGAACGAAGGGAGTGGAGGCGAGCGTCGCCATTTGGCTGCCTCCCGGCCGCTACCTCCAACTAGAGAGGCAGGCTTCGGCGTTTCGCCGCGTTTTATGCTTGGCCCCTCCGCCGACCACAGGTCCGGCAGAAGAGCAGCAACGCCGTGTCGACGGGCCATTGGCCGGAGCTCCTGGAGGCTGTCCTTTTTGCTCCTGTCACCGCGTACGGCGCCTTGTGCACGCTCGCGAGGGCGCGGATCGACCGCCGCGTATACAGCTTTGGGGTTTGGTCCAGCCGGAGTACAGGGGCACGCGTCGGCTCGCTGCGGCGCGCACGTAGGGTGCTCCGTGGCAGTTAGTGGCCGGGGCCGGCGCAGGAAGAACGTCACAGACCTGCTGTGTCCCAATCTCCCAAGGGCATCTCCAGTCGTTGGCCCCCCAGGGGCGTCTAAAAGTGCCGCCTGAGGGTGAGCCGGCGCAAAAAATGGTTCTGGGGCAAGTCGGTCCCCAGCCGTCGGCCTCCAGGGCCGCCTCCAGGCGCGTATTAAAAAGAAAGAACTGTTCGGCGAAGTTATGATAAAAAATAGTTAAATTTTGGCCAAACATGGCAAATTTCGATGAAATTCGCGCATTTTCATTACATTAACCTAATCTAAAAAAGAAAAGGGCTGAAGTCGTCGCCGCCATCGTCGTCGTCGGCCTTCTCCTCCTTGACGCGGGCGCCCCTACTAGACCCCTGCCACTACTAGGAAAAGGCATACTAATGGCGCACCTAATTTGGCCATTAATGACGCATTAGTGGTGTGCCATTAGTAGCACGCCATTAGTATATTTTACTAATGGCGCACCACACATGCGTCATTAGTATATACAATAGTGCGCCATTAGTATGCCTCCCAGGAGGGCATGTATACCCAGGTGCTTTGGCATACTAATGGCGCACGACAGCAAGATGCGCCATTAGTAACTTCGGCATACTAATGGCGCACTGTTTAATGATGCGCCATTAGTATCCTTTGGCATACTAATGGCGCACTATGATGTGATGCGCCATTAGTATGAATATTAGGTTTTTTTTATTTTTTTATTTTCTGTTTTTTGCACAGGTTACAAAATGTATAATTAGACAAAATATAGACAACACAAATCAACAACAGATTCATCGAATACAATAGAAGATTAGTCTCTGAATACAATTCATCATTTTAGTCTCCGAATACAAGTCATCATATTAGTCTCCGAATTGAAAAGACCGAACAAAGATAGAACATTATATTACAAGTCTCGAGACCGCGAGTTTGTCTTCACATTACAAGTCGATATCGATCATCTAAACTACCATCACATAGAAGAGAGCTGCGGTCATCACGATGAGCATCATCACGATGAAACTCGTCTTCATCCGGTTCCTCCAACGCTCCCTCCCCTCTCCCGCTAGATAGCGGGCGTATCTAGATTTGGCCTCGGCCCTAGTGGCGTACCCTTTGTAATTGTTACCGCTGAATCAGTGAACCTGTCTCCAACACTCCTCCCAGTCGTCGTAGACTCCGGGAACCTTACCCTTGTACACGACATACCACGGCATCGCTATGCAGTAGCCAAACGAAACGTTAGTACCAATTCACAGACAATACATAAGTAATATATAAGTATGCAACAGAACGATCGGAAGAGAAAAGTAAGACATTAATAGCATCAATTACATCTTAAGTTGAACGACTCTCGAAACCAAAGAGACATACTACAAGTTCATTAAAGTTTAATTACAACATGAGCCAATCGATGTTTCAGAACTAGACACAACATCACTGCTTTCGACTCGACTCAAGGGACCGGAGCGTGGATGAAGCCGCTGTCTATCGTGGGAGTCATGAAAGAACGGGCGTTGTCATCCTGCATTTGTAGGATTGTGTCGATGTCACTGTTGGACGGTTGATTTCTGAGGTAGAACTGCCCCGCGGTACGAAGGACATCTTGATGGATGATTTCCGCAAACTCCGACTGGATGCGAAAGAATTCTTGTCTGATGTCCGCGTCCTGGATTGCCGACACGCTCGCGGCCCAATCTTTGAGTCTACTCGGTAGCAGAAGTTAATGATGGTCCCGTATGATCGCCCGCATGTGATGGATGGCGTAGTAGGCACCCTTCTGACCGTCAGGCGGCTGCTTGACGCAGCAGAACATCGTATTGTGGGAGAACACGTGCTTGCCGTACTTACGAATAGGCCTGGTGAAGGTGCCTCCAGATTTGACGTAGCCGGGGAGAACATCATCAAGAACCTTCTTGACATTTGTGTAGTCTACGTTCGACTGACGGTCCGGGTCGAAATACGTGGCCATGGAATATTCGGGACTTAGGAGGATGAGCGTGCAACGTGTGTCACTGCAGAAAACATGGAATGTTAAAAGAAAAACGATCGAAATCTAAGAATTCATATGTTACGGGGCGGTTGAGGGGAGGACTTACTCGGGAAAGTAAGGCACGAGGAAGTTATCCTTATCTTGGTTTGCCAGAATGACTCCTTCGAGGTAAGAACTCGCGACTTGCCGGTCCCCAGCGCTGCCCAAGATCTTGGCACGCATGTAGAAGGGGTCGACTATCACGATGTCCGGGGTCTTGTCGCGAATGATCCGCATCTCCATACTCAGCGAAAATAGCCAAACGAAGGTGTAGTGCAGCGGATGAAGGTTCAACATAGCGTGGATGTCATCAAACCGCAGGACGATCGTACCCCCGATGGAGTTATCCACAAAGCCCTTGCCCTCTGGCACCTTGGCCGCGAAAACCGGGTATGCCACATCCTTCTCTCCGAGACGCCGCTTCTCCAAAGAAAGAACACTGTCATGCAGACTCCGCATAGCACCGGTTGCAGCATCGAGCATATTTCTCGGTAGCATCGGCCTACCCGCCACATGCACCCTCCTCGAGATATCCTCAGGTGAAGGTGGCCCGTCCTGAGCACGGATCGTACTCGGTGCCGGCTGGCCCGCACCCTTGTTAGTCTTTCTTTTGTGTGCCTTCTTCTTCTCCTGTAATGGGACCGAGTTCTGCTCACAGACTGCCTTCTTGAGTGTGTTGGGGCTGATCATATTTCGCACCTCGCCTATCTGAGGCTCGGTGAAGTCGGCAGCTGGAGGCGTCTCCTGAGAGCTGAACTGCAGACGACGCCTGTTGCAACTTGGCTTCTCCGCGGTACCAGCTAGATCGCGCACGTCTTTTGTTCGGTTGGGTTCTTGAGAAGG